CCTAAGTCAGTGCTCCATTAAGAGAGAGAGAAAGTGTAGTCATCAAAATGAGTAGAGAGAGTGAGAGATGAGGTACATTGGCCCTCTTTTATAGGGGGAGTGTACCTTTTTGGGCCCAAGTTGGGCTTGACCCCTATCGTTGGGCTTAGATGCCTTAGTGGGCTTATCCTCCAATATGTATCCACTTAATCCATAAACCGGGTCCAGTATAATATCCTATATCACCGTGTAAACGGTAAGTTTCCCGAAAGAACAGTTGAGCGACATGCACCGCATCCGTAGTGCGCTTACACGACACAAAGTGCACCATCTTCGAGAACCGATCGACAAGCACAAAGATAGAGTCAAAGCCACGTTGAGTTTGTGGCAACCCCAAGACAAAATCCATACTAACTGCACACCAAGGCTGGAAAGGAATAGGAATGGGTCGATAAAGCCCGACATTCGAAACAACACCCTTCGAAACATGACAAAACCGACATCGTTCCACATAACGGGCCGCATCACGACGAAGGGAAGGCCAATAGTAGTGTCGACTCACCAAATCCACTGAGCGATCCCGGCTCACATGCCCGTCGCCGTGTAGCTCGGCCACAAGCTTGTGACGCAAGCTTCCATCCGGGATACAGAGGCGGGTTTCTCGAAAAAGAAACCCATCCGAGAGGACATAATCATCAAACGAGCCGTGCGCGAGGCATTGGACAATAGGGCCAAAAATGGCATCGTCTGCATAGTGCTCGCGTAAGGTGTCAAAACTGAGAACCGACACGCTCATATCTGAAAGCAATAGGGCTCGCCGACTCAAAGCTTCTACAACCCTGTTTGACACTCCAGAGCGGTGACGAAGCACGAATGTAAACTGCTGCAGGAAAGCAGTCCACGAGGCATGACGAGCGGATATATTATCTTGAGATGCCAAATGACGCAGTACCTCATGATTTGTGTACAAAATAAACTCCCGGTGAAATAGGTAGTGTCGCCAATGACGACTGCCCAAACCACAGCGTAAAATTCCACGTCATAAGTGTTGTAACGTGAATGTGGCCTGGACAACTTTTCACTAAAAAATGAGACCGGTCGACCATCCTGGCTGAGGACAGCGCCAATCCCCACTATTGAAGAAGCATCACAAGATATCTCAAACGCCTTCGAAAAATCCAGCAAAACGAGCACCGGAGCGGTCGTCAACTTGTTTTTAATAAGAGCAAAAGCTTCCTCAACCTGCGGGGTCCAAGAAAATGTCTTGTAATGCAAGCAATCAGTAATATGTGTCGTAATAGTACTAAAGTGTGATATAAAATGACGGTAGAAAGAGGCAAGCTCGTGGAAGCTACGGGCCTCCGTGAAAGATGTAGGGGTCGGCCAATCACGGATAGCCGCTACTTTATTCTCATCCACCCTAATACCGTCAGCAGAAATGACAAATCCCAAAAACAGAACAGAATCAACCAGAAAAACACACTTACGTGGAGCGGCAAAGAAAGACTCAGCACGTAAGACCAATAAGACCTCCCGAACATGCTGCATGTGTTCCTCCAAGGACCGGCTGTAGATACGAATATCGTCAAAATAAACGATGACACTCTTGTCGATAAAATCACGTAAGGCCTGGTTCATAACACGCATGAACGTGCTAGGTGCATTTGAGAGCCCGAACGGCATCACCATCCATTCGAACAAGTCCTCTCGGATCTTAAAGGTTGTCTTCCACTCATCTCCGGGCCGAATCCGAATTTGGTGATAACCGCTACGGAGGTCTAGCTTGGTGAAAACAAAAGCGCCGTGCAATTGGTCCAATAGGTCGTCGAGGCGAGGAATAGGAAATCGTTAACGGACAATGATCTTGTTGATTGCGCGGTTATCAACACACATACGCCAGCTACTATCCTTCTTTGGAATGAGGAGAGCCGGCACCGCACACGGACTCAAGCTCCTGCGCACGATACCCCGTTGGAGCAGCTCTTCAACCTAACGACGAAATTTCTCGTGCTCCATTGGACTCATACGGTAATGGGGCCTATTTGGTAACGAAGCGCCCGAGACCAAGTCGATATGGTGTTGTATATCTCGAAGCGGCGGAAGTCCCGAAGGAATATCATCTGGAAACACGTCAGCGAACTCCATCAGCAAAGGCCGGATTGGCGCGAGTGGGTCCCACACTGCAGCCACATCCGCGCCAACAAGCAACAACACGAGGATAGAACGCTGCATTTCAGAACAAGATTTTGACCGTGAAAGAAGAAGGACCGTGGGTGTCGTATCCAGCGGAGGCGTCAGGCTCGGAGTTGGGCACTCTTGACCCCACCAAAAAGAAACGAGTACCTGTTGAGGCGGCCATCATGCATCGTCGCACGATCATACTGCCACGGATGGCCCAAAAGCAAATGACACGCGTCCATTGGAACAACATCGCACCAAACTTGATCACGATAAGTGGGGCCAACGGAAAAAGAGACAAGGGCCCGACGGTCAACAGTAACCGCATTACGTTTCTGTATCCATGCAAGCTTATAAGGGTGTGGATGAGGCTCGCAAGACAATTTCAACTTGTTTACCGCCTCATGAGCAATAACATTTACACACGAGCAAGAATCGATAATAAAGCGACAGATTTTTTCACCGACCGTGCATGTCGATTCGAAAAGGTGATGTCTCTCTGAATCCGCAGGACCATTCGGTGCAAGGCATGCACGCCGAATCACCAGAGTCGTGCCCACGTCCCCAGATACATATTCCTCCCTTATGCCCAGTTCCGCATCGAATATTGGTGGTCCATCACACCCGTCTTCGACTCCGCTGTCAAATACTTCCTCCAAGAACAAGGCGCGAGTAATAGAATTTCGTGGACATACTGTCTGTCGATGGCCCACCTCACCACAACCGAAACATCGTAGCCCGGAAACCACGCGTGCCCCCGTCGATGATGTTTGAAGCCCCACCATCCCACTCGGCCGCGATTGTGAACCACCCGGTGGTGGAAACCTGTTCGCCCCAGCCCCCATGCCGAAGCCGCCGCTCGCCGCCGGAGTTCCACGGATGGGCTGACCCCCTGCACTGAACGCCGTGCCTTGTTGCGAAGAAGAACCAAACGCTGGTCTCGACTTCTGTGCCGGCTGTAGCTCAAGAAGGAGTGCTCGTTGATGAGCATCCGAGACCGTCTCCGAACAAAAATGATTCAATGTGTCACGTATATTTATACGCAGTCCACCCACATAGCGTGCCACCAACTGATTTTTTGTTTCGTTCAACTCGACACGGCTTAAGAGTCGATAGAATTCATTAGTATAATCGTCGACCGAACGTTCTCCCTGGCGCAAATTTTGTAGTTATTGGTAAACAATACTATCGAAGTTGAATGGGACAAATTCACGTTCTACCACTTCTCGAAACTTCATCCATGAAGTGATGCTCGGTTTTCCCTGACGATGTCGCAGGCTTGTTAACTGCATCCACCAAACCGCTGTCCTACCACGAAAACGAGTCACCACCAAATCCACTCGCTTGTCTTTCGAAACATCCTTAAATCGGAGAAAGGCCTCGACCGCAGCCCACCAATCAAAGAATTCTGACCCATCCGTTCTGCCCGCAAACTCCGGAAGATCCACAGGAAACCCCTGTTCCCAACATGACCCATCGCCCCCTTTTATCGGACGCCTGCCGTCACGTCGGTCTCTACCCTATCGTTCACTGCCCATACCTTCAACAAAAGCCTGACAACGCTGCGGATACTCGTCACCCCTTCTCCAGGCACGACGTCGATTGCCCTCGTCGTCCTCGTCAAAGTTCATCTCAAACCCTCTGTGGCCGCCACCATCGTCACCCGTAGGTCGACGGCGTCTATCATTCGCGAAAGGGTTGTCGCAAATAATAGTCTCTTCGTCCTCCTCGTCGCCAGACGGATTTGGTGGTGAATGGTGGCAGGGCGCCCCGCAAAACCGCGTCCTCCACGTCCCCCGCGAGCTCCTCCACGCGTGCCCCAGTCGCCGGCACCGCGATTCGAATGCATCTCGTCCATCAGATTTCACATCGCCTCCCGCATCTCCTCCATGCCGGATTAGATATCCGTAAATCGTTCGTCCATCCAGTCAAAGCAATTATCCATCCTCTAGAATCGCTCGTCAATGGCGTCATTCACGGCGGTACCTCTCTTAGGTGGCATCGCGGATCGCTGCTGGTCTCTAGATACCAACTTATTTAGAACGTGATACGAAATCAGGGAAGATCGAGATACTCTCTCGTGAAAATAGAACACCAGATAATTTCATAAAATTCTCAATGTTTTCTGATGTCTCACATACGATAATAAATAGAAAAGAGAGTCCACACTTGCAAAACAACTGCAAGGACCTTATTTACTTACCTAAACTGAAATAAGAAATAAGGAAATAGAATAATAAATGAAAAGGGAAAATAAAATGAATAAGGAACTAAATTTGGAGTCGATCAAATTTATCCAAAAAGGCCAAGGCAGCCTCGTCTCCATCACTAGCCCTTATTTTAAGCTCAGGAGAGTACCAACTTTGATTAACATCTAGTTGTATGTTTCATTGTTATCTAATGTGGCGCAACATTGGTCTGGACTCTGGACGGTCTGTCCAAGGTTTAGCGTAGCCCTAGGCTCTTCTTAGTCTAAGATGATTGTTTTAACCCCTTATTCTCTTCCAATGGGGGTTGCTCATTGCAGTGGAATTTAGTGATAGACCACTCCTTAGGTCATACCAAGGTGCCCTGCCCTACCTATAGGGTTACCCGTAATGAGGGATCCCATATAGGCTCGATGTAATTGAGTGTCAGATTTCTAGTTCGGATCAACACACAATTAATAAATAAAATTCTTTCTACTTTAGACATTGATTGTTGCAAATCCGCATAGCAACAATTTGACACTAGAGGAAGAGCTTCATCTTGTTTAAGAGTAATCTTTGATCTTAAAACAAAACTACTTTGAAAATAAAATTAAAAAAGAGAGATAGGGAGCAAGTATGTCATCACTTAGTCAAAATGATGAGTCCGAAAGCGCTGGCCAACCAACCACCTTTAAGGGGACCCACCATTGATTTTGCTACACTTATGCAGAATCTAGACTTTGTGAAAGGGTTTTCAAACCTGTTGTCACAAACTTTACCATCATCCTGGAATGTCTTTAAGACGACGACAAGATTTAAATACGGCGTTGGAGAAACAAAAGGCATCGACTCGCTCACACTCTACCGGACAAGCCAAAAACAGATACATCCACATACATAGCCAAGAGGAGGATACTGAAGATAGAAAGTCGAGGGAAAACCGCCATACCAGATCTAGAAATTTAGTATTTCAACGACTGAGAAAGAAAAAAGCTCCACTTGGTCTTCAAGAGAAGTTATTTGAAGATCTCGCGACCCGACGAGAGACAGAAAAAGTTGCCACTGTGAAAAAGAAGGTGGTGGAGCTCCAGGTCAAACAAAAGTCGACTTGCAACATTCTGGACCGTCAGCATATGGCCTCGACTAGCTTAATGACAACAATAGCCTCACCACAATCGCCAGGCTTTCTCCTCAATCCCTACCAAATAAGGTAAGATCCCGCAAATCGACTTGTACGATGGGAGCTCAAATCATGTCGCCCACCTTGGACTCTACACCTCCTGGATGGACCTACATAGCGCAAAGGATGCACTCAGGTGACACATGTTTTCTCTCACCCTAAGGCCGCATGCACATAGGTGGTATTATTTTTTACGTCCCCACTCCATTCAGACATGGCGGGAACTCAGATCGGTGTTCAGATCTCATTTTATAAGATCGCAAGGGTGCATGATCCCAAAAGACTCGATCACGAATATTGTTCAAGAAGCAGATGAGAGCTTGAAGGACTATATCACACGATTTAATAAATGTGTACAAAACATGGAGCCTTGTCATCAAGAGACATTGCTTGTAGCGCCCCTTTCGATTGAGATGATTTCTCGTATTTTATTTAAATTATATGCATTTTATTTCTTTTTATG